GCAGAACCTGACTAACTTCTTTCCTTTGTCACTCACTGGCTCTTTGCACTGAGTGTATAACCTCTTGAGTAAGATAGTGATGTCTTATGCTGTTGTCTGATTTGTTTAGTAAATTAGAGAAAGACTACCTGAGAACCTCTTATTGGTTTTCACAACATATCACATTACTTTATTTCTTGAAAACTGTCTAAACATTTCTTTGTCTCTGCTCACTCTTGTGGGAAGGAGAAGGTACGAAGGACCGAAAAAAATGTTTTGACTTACAGCAGGACATTTTCTGCCTTGTTAAATGGGATATACCGTTCAAGGTTCAGAGGTATGTGTCAATCAAGATATATGCAAGAACAGGCATAATGATTAATTAGATGGAACATTGTGGGTGTGGTGTATGAATGTTAACACTTTGTAATAATTCTTTAGTACATTACTTGTGTGGTGTAGAAGAGAATTATTTAAGAATGTAATTATGTAAGAATGTTAACACTGTTATAATTTTTTAGTATGTTACTTGTGTGGTGTAGAAGAGAATTATTTATGTAGAGATACTGCTTGCAAACCAATGATGGTAAGATGATGTCATGGGGTAGGACTGGATAAGTCTGACTTCTTCCTACTCCATTCAAGCATGTACTAGGTATAAGCAAATTGATATTGGATTATGTGTATGTGTGTTGTCATATCAACTGTTTTACACTGTCTTTACATGCTTGAAAGAATAAATCAAATCAAATCAAATCAAAGGTTCAATGTCAATTCACCATAGCTGCAGGTCATACAGAAAATTGAAATACCGTATCTCTCTCACCTAGTATTGGGTGCCATAACATCTAGGAACTAAAATAGAATAAAGTAGAATAAAAATAGAATAGAATAAGAACTGGATTGATGTAATTAGGATAAATCTAAACGGTACAGCCAATAAGCTGTGACAAACCGAGTAGTCAGTGACAGTAGGAGATTGTCAGATGGTTCAGCATGTAATGCAACTACTTGAGTTTGCCTGGTATGTGATGTGTACATGATTAATGTTTGTCTACAACTAGCTCAAGGATAGTGGAGTTTTCATCTACTGCAGCATTCATCCAATAAGGAATCTACTCTATATTAGAAAAACCATGTACCTGGTTATTTTAGCTTCAGTAATGTCTGTAGCAAGCAGCTAATCATCTCATCTATGCCACCCAGTAAACATCCTCCTTCCTTCTGTTTGGCTTTGTGAGGAAGATACAGGACAGGCAACCTTTTACATGATTAATATTACATCAACTGATTACATCAAAGGGAAATGTTATACTTACGGCAGGAATATTAGCAAGACAAACAAATTAAACTATAAATCAGTCATGGTACCTTCAGAACCTGAGTTGAATAATACACCACAAGGAAAAAAATCTTCATCCTGCTTCCTTAAATGCTCTTGTCTCAATCCACACCAGATCTCACAAATGGATTTGCATCTGTCTAACAGTGTAGTTAACCTCACATCTGTCATTAAAAACATATTTTGATTTGTTTTAACTGCAGTAACATTACAGGTTTAATGATATGGCTACAAAAAATGGCTTTATATTCATAAAAGCTTACTGGCTGATGCCCAGCTCAACTAGAAAACATCCTTAAACCGAATTCTGACAGAACATATGCATAAATTGTGCCCATCTGCCACTTGCGTATGTGAGAACCCAATAAAACCATAAGCACTAGAGTTGGATCCTCTTTTTTGATGTGAGATATGCAAAATGGCCTCTTTATGGGTTAGCACTCAGCATGGTTTATTAGAGTCAGGGCTGAAGGGGAAAAGAGATGTAGAGAGATGAGCAGAAAAGTTGATAAGAGGGGAGAGAAATATGCTATCTGTCTACACGAACCTGTGTGTGCACTCTTTTATCTGCACACTACTTCCTCAAATTGTTCTCATATGCAGCACCCATTCATCTAATGCACTACATCACCACTGAGAGCTTCTCTTTCAAATAACATATCTTCTGTGTCCTCCGTTTTCAGACAGCAGTCAGTTTTAGAGGCAACTGTAACAATATGAAAACACTCAAAGCCCTTCACCTTGTCATCCAGACCACTATTACTCTCCCACTACTGCAGGATTTCAGCATGGAGCTTTGATATATTGAAACAAAAAGATGGTAACAAAATGCTTTGTTGCAAAGGGATACTGTATCAGTGAGGCATTGTATTTGGAGAATGTTCAACCCCCCAGAGCAGACAGGGAAATCTAATATGTGTTATTCAAAGATGGTCTACAACTCATTATATGGTACAAACATGGTATAAACATATCTGCTTAACCTCAGGATAACAGTATTGTCAGTGCATGTTAACATGCTGATTTTAGCATTTAGCCTCACACTGTCTCTATGGTTGCAGTCTCAGTTTTGTTGTCAGTCCTGCACACATAATAATCAAATCAATGTTCAGCTCAATTAATTAATGTTCTGAGGTGTTAAATATTAACCAAAATAATATATCCTGTCAAATAATGGAAATTATGTCACTTTGTCCTCAGAACTTGTTTCTTATTCAGACACTGAATTGGTGCCTCTCAGTCTCTGTGGCCATTATATGTACTGTTGTAGATCTCAAATATGTAGATTTTCCCACCACCTGCTTCATTTATCCCTCTGAGAAAACAGGAACCTTAAACAGGCACCAAGATGAACTCTTAATTACCATGAACATCATTATCGAGCCTCTTATGTGATGGTGAAAAGAACTAATGGGATTTGTGCAAGCCGTGCTGATGCACCAAAATGAGCCCTGGCACATTCAACCCTACATACTCCAAGAAATGTCCATCCCACACAGTCATTTCTTTTTGTGCTTAGTTCACAAAAAGAAAAATCAATTTTAAGGTTGAATGAGACTTGATAAGTCACAGTGAAGCAGCATTTTGCCGCACTGTATTTTCTTGTGAATGAAGCACAGACTTGATTAGACACGAGGACTGAGTTTGTTCAAAAAACTGCTTTCAAAAAATTTGCTGTGGTTTTATTTGCCATTTGAACTTTTTTATTTATGCCCACATTACAATGACTTATAATTAAAAATGAAGATCTCATATAAATACTGTAATTTCTTCTGCATTTATGGCACACTCTCTAGCTGTATATTTTGATAGTATGTATAAGTTAACAATGTGGGGGAAAATCATCTTATTTTCACTGTAATAACAATGTTTTGTTACATGTAACTGTCTACTGTCCACTGCTCTTTTCCATCTAAGGAACAAAATGAGCAGTATATCCAGCTGTATAACAGAACCTGCTGTTTCATCACACTGTTTTCGCATCTGATAGATTTTGGGCAGAAAACTGCAATTGATTGAGTGTGTGTGGAAACCAGCTCTTTCTGTAAACTGCATGAGCAAGTGCACAACATGCTCAGGAATTAAACCAAGAGGATGGAGGAGGGAGTCAGCTGGATATGGTGTATTCACTCACCATACCAAAAACAAAAAAAAAAAGAAAGAAAGAGAAAAAAAGAAACACAAATTTCATCTTGAAGTTTGAATCATTTCAAAGAAAGAAGGGTCTGAGTATTCTGAGCTGGTGTGCTATTTACCAAAGGTTGTTGCCCTGCTATAGCTTTAATAATTCATTACACTAACACTAAAAACTACAGTATCTGCAGTCAGTCAACACCCCACTTTGTGGTCCAACATTTGGTTTCATGTATTCAGGTCTGGCGGCACATGGTGTTGGATGCAGGGATGCAGTTTAGGTAAATCACAGATGACATCAGAGCGCTTTAATGCACTTGGGCTACCGTCCACTTATAAACATAAATGCACAATACACACTCACATACACACACTTATGGCAAGATGCTGCCTGGTTCATTAGTAATCAGAGAGGTAATGCTCCTCGGGCTCATTCAATTAACTTAATATGCATTAGATTAACACAGCTCAAGCTTATACAGTCTGTGGTTTACCCATCATTTTCCACAATTATCCTTTACATTTAATTTTTTACATCACACATTAATGAGAGGTGTAGGAAATCACGTCTGCACATGGATCCATGTCTGCATTCATATCTGGATCTTAGTATCCAGTATGAATCTCAGTAACCAAAAAAATCCAAGTAGTGTCATAAAAGGGCCCAAAGAGGCAGCGACATGGGGGTTTTTCGGGGGGGTGGGGGGGCAGACTATTCGTGTGCAACCAGATGTTAAGAGGGAGAATGGTCACCATCTTTCAAATGAGCGCCAAACGTGCCTTAGAGCGATTTGGCTGCCCTGTTAAATCTCTCCTTCTAATAACTCAAGCGCACATACTGATGAATGTGCAGCGTCCTGAACGACTCCACCGTTACCCCGCCATCAGCAGTCCCCCCACCCCTGGAGAATCCCGCGACCGGGGTGGTCCTGAAAAATATTGTCCTCGCTGTCCCAAGCGCCATACTCGTACGCGCATCTCGTGTGATTAACTAAACCACTGAGCGCCTCTGCTTTGCAGCGTAAATGCTATAGCCTACTTATGCAGACAGCGTGAGTTCCTCTCCGGGACACACACACTTACACATTTAATACACACTACACAGCCTATACGCAAGGCGCTCTTTCACGGTCAGTGAACATTTATGCATGAATGATCACTGGCTTTCACTAACTTGTCTTCACTAAGCGCCATGCGAAGACAATTAGATGCTTGTGTATGTGAGTGAGTGAGTGAGGGGGTCGTCCTGCAAATGGCGCAACTTCTCTTTCTCTCTCTCTCTCTCTCTCTCTCCTGTTGTCAAGTTGACACAGCTGAGAGCCCCACTAACACCAAATCAATCAGTCCCAGATGTTTTATGGATGACTGCACCACTACAATCCAATATCTAGTCGTTATCTTCACCGCATACAGTAAAAGACAAAAGCCACATGACAGCCTACTTACACGACACGCACCGATAGTGTGCGTTCAAATAACATTTGCACTGGAGCACCTGCACCGTCAGCCTTTTACCCATCTCCAACAGCCTCATGAGAGTCCTTACCTTGAAGTCGAGCTTTCTTTACGACGTTTTCACTGAACGTAACAGAAACACACCCCTATTCCGCAGCGCCTTGATCGCTGTGTGGATGACAACGGACGATGGAGGAACAGCAGTGAAAAGCATCGGCTTGGAGGAACAGCAGTGAAAAGCATTGGCTTCTCTCTCTCCATCTGTGGTTCACAAGCAGGGCTCCCCACTGAAACACTACTGGCCACCGATTGGTTCACGGTATCCTCGGTGCCCCCTTTCTGCTGCGCAAGGAGGGGCCAAACACAGCCCTCTGGGATTGATAAAACCAACACAATACAAATAAATCGATTTTAGAAGCCATTCAGCCTAATGTCTATTCTTTTAGATGAGTGGTGTAAATTTCAATTTTATTCAGATAACCATGCCACATTCCTACTACTTTGTTCCTGCTTTAAATGTTTATATGACACTGAGGGACATAATTTTAAAAGAAGTTTAACTTGTTTCATTGTTTTAGACACTCATAATAAGACAGTAATGACTGTAATACAACATCATTACTGCTTGATGTTACAAAGAGAATAGGGGTTGAGGCAACTGTCCTACTATAGACTATTTCTTTAGTTGTGTGTGGTATCAGATTGGTTAGAACATAAATCAGGGCCGAGCATTCTGAGGCAGAAACCGCTTTCATCAGAGCAGCCACCCATTCTGAATACACCATCACATCAAGCACTTAACTTATAGTACTGTAAATGGGTCAGCACAGAGAGAAGGAGAGAAAATAAAGATTAATTTTCACTAAACCTTGAGGCAATATCATGATTGCATGGGTGCTCTATTGCACAATTGCAAACTAGACGTGTATAGATGCAAACAATGACCTACATTTCTTTTTCTCATGTTGTTGTTAGAGTGCTCTCCTACAATATGGAGATCCTCTACATCAGGCTCCCAACAAGCATCAGTCAACTACAACATGACACCTGTTAAGTCAAATCTCACCCCTATAAAGGCTTGATGAATCAGAAAATTGGTAAATTTGATGTGCACTTGTCTCATGTGAAGCAAAGAGAAGTCGGGGGGCAGCCAACTGAATAGGCATGCTATCCACGTGTGAAACCGAAAGGACGCTTGTAGTCAGTGCAGCAGGACTCACACAAGCTTTGACTACAGCCACAATGTGAAAATATTCAGTGTATTACATAGTAGCAGCTTCCATGTTCTCTTTCAGTTCACCTAAGACTATTATGTGCAGGGTTCATGCACATACTAGCACACCTCAACTCAGCTCCCTGGTTTAATTTGCAAAAAATAGTTTACCCCCTTTCACCACTGATAACTATTCATAACTCATTAATTTCATTAATGAATGTGACTGTGGGGTCTAATAAAAAAGTGGTATTTTGTGATAATATAATCAATTGTTTTAGATGCAGCTTGTTGTCTTTGTGACCACTTACTGGCAATCAAACAGTATTTACCCATGATTTGACTATGACAGCATTTTTAAGACAATTCAACATCTTCCAATTGTTAATAAAACACACAAACAAACTTTCTTTTGGGAAGTATTATGCAAATTTATTGTAGTTTTCACTAGTGTTGTTAATGTATTTTTGACTAAAATTGTCCTATGATACAGTGATGCCTGAGGGATAGGAGCAGCTTAGTTACATCAGTGGCCTTTCAGCACCATGGTCAGTGACAGTGATACAGGCCACTGTGTGAGACTGTCAGTGTGTGTGTCTGTGTTTTCAGCTGTTCAACCAAGCTACTGAGACCAGAAATAAACATGTTTACTGCCAGGATGAAAGCATTAGCATGTGTTAGTCACCCTCAGATAAGAGTTGAGACTTAGCTAAAATCTACTGTGTTCGGTGTCAAAGTTTAGTGTTAAACTTCATGTCACACCATCTGCCATGTTGAACACACTGTGGTCACATCTGCCTTTGATCACTTTATAAGGTGATGCTTCAGATCATACACCTTGCTGGGAACTGCTTACATGGAAGGCAGTGGATCGATACACATGTACATATATTTTACCACACACCAACCCCAATAGTGAGTCCAGTGGTCACAAAGTCATTGCTGATGGATAAGGTTATGATGATTAAACAAGCCAGCTCCTGATTCTGACATTTAGTACATCAGCATGCAACACTGGGCTTCAAGCTTTGCTATAGCTGAGTGTTTCATTAACACAGTGCATTAATGCTCATGTACCATAAATGATGGGAGAAAAAAAAAAAGCTTTAAGATATCAGCCCCATTATGTTCGTGGTGTTCACTTCTGTCCTAGTCAGCTTTGCTCAAAGCTCAGCCATGGCACACCATTTTCCTACATACACTCTCTCGCAATGGAAGACAGCCTAATGAATATTTATTGGTTCACTGGGTCAAGGTGTAATATCCACATTTTCAGTGTGACACAACACTCAGTCTCACCCCTCATGTATGTGGCAGAGCATTCATCACCAGGGTAGAATTGTTTACAGCTCAGCCTCACATGACCTACTTCACAGCCTGCTGGCAGATCTGTTTGTATTTTTATTAGCACTCATTCAATGTATGCTAAAGTCAGGTGTCAGAAAGCCCTGACCTTCACTCACTATGAAAAAAGTCACTTTTGTGTCATAGGAGAACTTAGAATTTTTTAATTTATTTTATTTTAACCCTGCTACCCTACCAGTTTTCTGCAGGACTTTTGCTTGAAGTGCTGAATTGCCATGGTCAAAAAATAAACTAAAAATGCTATTTTCTGTTCCAGAAACATTGGCTTGATTGTTATTTGAAAACAAAAATATATTTATATTGTTTTTCTTCTTTTTTGTGCAAGTCCTCCAATTTGAAGGCAATATTAAACCCATATCTTAAATAAGTGAGTAATGACATTCTTTAAAAATATGCTAATTACAATATTACATAAAAGCCCAATGGAGGGTTTCCCCTCTGCCATGTCCTAGGTTTACTGTGGGCTGGAGTGTATTATCCCCTGCTGGACCAAACAAACAGATCACCTTCAAAAAACTAGTCTCTCGGTCGATCCCCAGACAAATGTGATGCGCTATAACAACGGCTCATCCCCTCTGTGCTTTGTGATATAAGGAAAATTGCTGGTTCACTATGTCCCTTTTTCCTAAAAAAAAAGCTGCCATCAGCTGCCAGCGTGCACATTCATGGCATCACTCCAAGCTGGCTGAGATCAATAGTGTCTGTCAGGGAGCGGTTCTTAGATGTAAGAAGGCTGGGAGACACATGCTAAGTAAACCAAGGAGGAGATCTAGGAAATTTTCTGATTTTATATGGACCCTGATTTCAACAGGGAAACATGGCATTCTGTTTACACATGGATTTGGAGAAGAAAAGACAGAAGAAGAGAATTGGCCATTGTTTGGATATTATGACTTAATAAATATTAAGAGCTAAGAGCCAGAGGTGTAGTGTGATATCACCCATTTCCCATTCAACTTCTGTCTCAATACATATATGTGTGTGTGTGTGTGTGTCCATCACTTCAGAAGATATATAAACAGCTCTGCCAGTTTTGTGCATAATTCATCAGACAACATAATGCCAAGCAGAGAAGCCCATAATTCATGTAGCTTTGACATCTTTACTAACCAAGCAGCACTGATAGATACACACCGATGTCTGTGCTGGAAATTCAGTGTTAACATATAGTGAGACTGATATAGTGAGAGTGATTCTTTTGCTGTCCAATACAAGCCTACACCCACATAATACAGACACACAGTACTAGGTTTACAGTATATTATCTAATGTAACCCTTGAAGAAGTAGTGCCATTTTTTGTGGTCTTATAGAATTATTTTACACAACATAGCCTGTGTGGCTTTACTGTTCCCCAGAGACATATTTGTAAGCTAAAGATATACCAGTGCAAATTATATTTTAAGTAAGTGGCACTTTGATAACATTAGCATGCTAACATGTTAATGTCACAATATTGATAATGTTCACCATCTTAGTTTGGCTAAATGTTAGCATACTAAGATTTGCTACTTTGCGCTAAACAGAGCAGCTATATCTGGGGCAGAATATTATTAGTTTGCAGATATTTGATTGTGAACCAAGGTAGGCTATTGAACAAACCAAACTTTGACCAGCGGAAGTCAAGCTCTCAAACTTCTTACAATTAATCCTGAGGGGGAGTGTCTGTATTAAATGTAACAGCAATCAATCCAACAGTTATTTAGACATTTCTCTCAAAACCACAAATCTCATATCGGTGCTAAAGAAAAAGTCAGGAGATCACCAAATTATTAGGATTCATCCTCAGGGAACCATGAATGTCTGTGCAAAACCTTGTAAATATATATAATATTATGGAAAGCTATTCAATAGATGTTTGATATTTCACTGAATAAGTGAATATTTTGATATGCTAGTGGAAAAGTCAGGGGCCAACCAAAGTCAGTAGGAGTCATTCTCTGGGGACAGTAAATATTTGTACCAGACTCAGATGAAATCCATCTCACAGTTGTTGAGATTTTTTGGCCTGGATTAGTGGTGGAATGGTTAAAATAAAAAATAAAAATAAAAAACCTGACCAATTTCAATGGTTCAAGGCATATATATGTTGTTTCAGAAAAAGCTGAAAAAATATAAATTTATGGAACTTCTGTACCAATTGAAAAAGTTTTCTCTACAGCAGGATACATTGTTACTGCAAGTAGATTGTGTCTTGTGTCCAAGAATGTGAACAGGAAAATAGAATGCAACAAAGCAATGTTTTAAAGAGTGTGTGTTTGTTTTATGTTGCATTTTATGTTGACAGTGAAGAAGTGTTTATGTTCATTATGGTTTTGGCCATTATTTTAAGGCAAATATATAACTTTTTCTGTTAAATCAAAAGCATGTTGAAATTGTGAGTGCCCTCCCCCTGCTTTACCAAAATCTTATTGAACCCAGTGAAAAACTGAGGCCAAAACCATGGTATAAGCCGAATCATAACTTTTGTGAACTGTTCCACCTCTTGTCTGAACCAAAGTAGTGGAATGACTGACCTGCTGCTAATGTTGCTAAAATATAACATTTTCTAAAAATTAATTAAAATGAATTCTTCAAAGAACCACCATTCCTCAGAAGATAAACAGATAGTGGGTAGAAGGTGTTCGGCCTGCTTTTCTATAGGCAGTACTTGCAGGATATCATTTAGGAAAGCAAGGATAAGGTTGATTTAACTCTCCCTCCATTACTTATTCATGTAAAATGAAATCAAAACATCCGTATCATTTTTTAGCTGTCAGATTTTGCCCTTGTCTAAAGGTATATGTTGTCTAGTAAATGGATCGTGTCATTTTGTTCCTTTAGCTTCTGCTTCATTTTAACCCATGAGTGTGCATCTAACTATATGGTTTGTCTTGTGGGTTTCACCAGATTGACCAGAAGGTTTGATAGTTTTTCTATCATCAAACTCATGTTCCAGCTTATCTCTGAATTCCAGTGTTCCTGTGTTCTGCTTTAATATTTGTATTATTGAGTTCACTGATGCACACTCAGGACTGACTTAGTCATAAAATAGAAATTCTACATGTTAAAATGTGTCCAGCACTGAGTTATTGATGGAAGTTGAAATTAGCAATTGTCAGGTTTGCCCGGCTGCGCCTGCCTTTCTCACCTCCCTCTCTTATTACTTCTGTCTCGGTTTTCTCCATGTTGCTCCTTGATTTACACCAGCTGCATTCACTTAGTCCCTCACCCTACTTATACCCAGCTCACTTACCACTCTGTTGCCAGTTCGTCATGGCTCTCAGGCTTACAACCAGCGCAATTTCTCGTCGCCTTTATATATTCATATATCCAGTTTTGATTTTTCTCCTCTTGTCTGCCCACTCTGTTTCCTCCTCTTGACCTCCTCCACAGACAGTTACCTACAGGCCATTGCTCCTCACCACCATTCCAGCCTCCACCAGCCAGGTCGGTACACAGTCACCAGATTCCATCTGCTTACCGCCTGTTTCTACCCTGTCTCCTCAGCCATGTCCCACCTCTACCGGCCAGCTCAGGAGTGACCCCAGCGTCCGCAGCTAGGCAGATCTCATCCATCACTTCGTTGAACCTTTTCAGTAACTGATCAACACCCGGTTATCATCCCCGTATTTCTGTTTAGCCTTTTATCTCACTACACTTGTAAATTGTCTGTATAGCCAACTGTGTGTGGGCCTTGACTAAAAACACTAGATAGGCTGCAGAGTCAAAGCACAGAAACAAGCTGAGATGTAGGTGTATAGTTTGCAGCAAAAAGACAGTCCTGTGCTAAGTGTATCACATTTGTGATACAACAATAAAATACTACCTCTAAGTTTGTTTTATTTTACCATATTTGAATGGACAGAACTGAAATTAATAAATACTAACCGGGGTGGTCAGTGATATACAAAATACACTTAAATCAACAAAATACAAATAGATCACTTTGAATCTCTTGCATCTGGCCATAACTTACATATTACTCAAACGCCTATGTTTAGTGAGTACAAAATGTAGCCTAAACACACACACATATGGATGCTATACAGAAAATGCATGACTCAGTATTACTGAGCATGTAACTGTCTCCATTCTAATCGTGGACAAAGTAGCCCACTTAGATTTAAGAAAAGCAACAAGGAAAAACTCAATTACAAGTAAATAAAAGTAAAAGCACATCAAAATTATGCTAAAGTACAGAAATTGATTAGTTTTTTTCCACCAGTGCTTCATCCTGATATTTACAGAGCAAAATTTGACATAACATCCTAAATTATTTGGAGTGCAGTATGTATTTTAAGACAGTAGCAAATCTAGATGGTTACAAACATAAGTGTTGTTGTTATTATTACTATTATTATTAAACAATACAAAACCTAAGCCAAAATAGGGGAACAAATCGATTTTAAGTCTACAACTCAAACAGACCCACAGTTTCAGAGGGGTTTCATTCTTCAGTGCATGGTGTGTTTCTTGGAAATAAGGTGACTGGCGCCACTGCCTGGTGTGATGGAAAAATTACACGAGTGTGTATGACAGTGGGACTAATTAACAGTAAAACTAGTTAGCCAGTTAGGTCGCTGAAAAGACAAAGCTAGAAAGCGGTTTGATGATGGATGATTGAAATGTGTTTGTAGGCTACAAGCTAATGTAATGTTCATGCACTGACTGTGAATTAAATATATTGTTATTTTAATTCCAAAAACATGATATTTAAGACAGGCTCTCTCTTTCCACTGTATTATCCATTCTGTCGACCTCTAAACTTCAAATCACCGATATTCCCGTGTTCTTCGTGCAAATTGGTGGCCGCTAAACAATGTTCACGTCCCACAGCAGTTAACCAAGACCTACTTTTAGTTCATCCATCCCATTTCCTGGACGAAGTTCCTGAGGGAGGACCAATAAAGCAGGCATGGGAAAGTTCTCCCTACTTTTTCCGATTACATCGACTCTTTTTAAAGAAGGAAAACACAAACCAACTCTAGCTGCGTGAGCCACCACTTTATGGAGCGGGGTGGTATTAAGAGTACTGAGACCTGCGAGAAAGGTTAGAATGTTTTGTTTTTTTTTTTATTAGGAGAAAAACAGATTAGGATTGTTTATGGGTAAAAAAATTACTTGGGTTGGTGTAATAGCTTTTCATATTTCCCTGTAGTTGTTTGTGAGTGAAATGCACTGTCCTGTGTTTAATAATTTTTAATATCCCATGATATTAGATTTATATTTCGTCATACCAGTTATAAGGTGGCTAGCACTTTTTATTGACTTTCAGTAATTGTACAGTACTTTTTACGTTTTGCATTCCTTTAGCGAATGTGTCTGAACTTTTAAATGGTTTTTTTTTTTTGCAGAAATGATTTGTCTGCCTTGATATTTTTGTGATTGATTAGTATTTTCTGTGCTGCAGTTGTGTTTTGTAACCTAATCTGATTTCTTTGAAACAAAATAAGAACTTAAACTTTGCCAGTAGTAACCCAGTGAGATTAAATTTACTTAAAAAGTAGATTTTTCAATAGTCATGTGAAATGCCTTCTGTCACCTGTAGTGTCTGTGGTACTAATCATTTCTTGGCAGCAGTGTTTTATTGTATTTTATAGTGTGATATATGCTTACCTTTTATGGATTTATGGTCTTATTTTTATTTTACAGCTATTTTCTTATCTGGTATGGTGAAGTATATGTTGATATTCTGTGGTAGGCCCTGTCTTGTAGCAATAGCAGTAATCCTCAAGGCAATAATCCTAGAAAGTGAATCCATCCATCCAGTTATCATTCTTGTAATTGTTTGTCAGGACAGAATTGATGACGCTCATTGTCTAGTCATATCCTGTCAGCAGGGTTTGGAGTTTCACTATTAGCAAAGGTTTTTTTTCTCAGGGGCAAAGAAATAACAGAAAAACACAAATAGTTTAAACAAGTAGACAAGTGTCACAGCAGTGCTCCAGCTCCCCAAACACAGGATGTTTATTCAGATGTGTGTGTGTGTGTGTGTTTTTGAGTGTGTCTTCTCGACAAACCACTGACTGTGCCAGTAATCATTAACAGTTAACCCCCCACTTCAAATTTCTCATTACAACACTTCAGTCAGTCACTTTGTATAGTTTGGATCTACTCTAATTCATATGTAAATCCAAAAACAGAACATACTGTATAGAACCAAATAGTTCTGTATAATCTAAATGCTTTAGTGGCCCATCTTGGACTCATTCACTTCAGTTTTGCTGTGAACAGTGAACATGTCCACTATTTCCATTCATTTTAACAAATTTAAGCAACTTGTGTTTTTGTTTTAGTTCATTTTAATGTATGAGGAGCTTTGTTTTTTAAAACTTGATGATAAGCTGGAGCCCACCCTGATAACCTTGTTAACTCATGGAAGAAGCAATAGGGGTCTGTAGTCACATTCATATGTTTCTCAGTAAAAGACACCCTTATTCTGAAAAGACTTGAAAAACTCAGATCAATTGCTGCTTATTCAATAGATGTTTGATATTTCACTGAACACCTATGAATCAGCTGTGCATTTATGAGAGCACTTGAGAAATAAAATATAGCAGTTAGGTGATAAGTGGTACATTCAAGCCAGTCTGTTTAGTAATGTAGCACTAAATGAAAAGGGTGTACTACTATATATGGCCTGCATAACAATTAGAGCTAAACCTGTAAGCAGGTATAACAGGGTCCAAGCATTGTTATTCAGCATTTTTCTTTTTTTTTTTTTTTTTTTTAGCAAAATATGAAAAAAGGCATGGGTTTTAGTCTGTCATGCACAATATTTGTAGGGGAAAACTATTAGAGACATACATGATGAACAGTATGTGTAAGATTTGGTTCCATATTGAGAATGACTGTGTGGGCCAAGGAGGTCTTCCAAAGCGATGCTGAAGAATCAAATGCTAGTATTCAAAAGTATTCAAAAGATGTTTTCTAAAATTGGTAAAAATCATAATGTGTGTATATATATGCTAATGGTCTTATACTTGTATAGTGCTTTTCAGCACACTCAAAGCACTTTTACACTGCTTGGCCATTCACCTATTCGCATTTACAAACATTCACACACTGACGTTATCAACGGGAGCACCTTGGAGTTCAGTGTCTTACACAAGGACACTTCAACATGTTGACTGGACAAGCTGGGAATCGAACCGCTAATCATCTGGATAGGAAACAACCTCCTAAACCACAGTCACCCCTTAAACAGTTAAACAGATAATTTCATTTTCCTTGGGTTAACTCTAAAATCTTTATTTCTCAGATGTTCTCCCTCATCTACCTATGCACACTAAATCTAAAAACTGTCCCTCTTAGGAGCAGAGGATGTCCAGAGCTGACTGGTCCTTCCTGGAGCACCTGCTGGAGGAGGGCCAGGAGTATTCCACAGGCATTGGCCGTGTCTGGCTTACTGTACTCTTCCTGTTTCGTATGCTGGTACTTGCAACAGCTGCAGAATCTGCCTGGGATGATGAGCAAGCTGACTTTGTCTGCAACACAGAACAACCTGGCTGCACTGCTGTCTGCTATGACAGAGCCTTCCCCATCTCCCACTTTCGCTACTTTGTCTTCCAAGTCATCTTTGTCTCCACGCCGACTATCTTCTACTATGGATATGTGGCTATAAAGGCTAGGAAGGACAAGACAAAAGAGGAGGCAAAGGATGACAAGCAGGCAGAAGAAGGTGGTGAAAATAAGGGAAGAACTACTGTGATAGAAAGAGACAATGAGAATGTAACTAAAGGCAACATAGAGGAGAAAGAAGAGGGTGGTGGGAAAGGTAGAAAGGCAGAAAAGGTTCCTCCTAAGGCTCCTAAACTGAAAGGCAGGTTGCTGTGTGCATACGCATTCAGCATAATGTTAAAGGTACTGCTAGAAGTTGGCTTCATCATTGGGCTGTGGTTCCTCTATGGTAGCTTCTTTATAGCGGCAAAGTTTGAGTGCTCACGGCCCCCTTGTCCTCATACAGTGGACTGTTTTGTCTCTCGACCCACAGAGAAAACCATCTTCACCATCTATTCTCAGGTGATTGCTGCCATCTCCGTGCTTCTCAACCTTACTGAGCTCCTCCATCTCCTTCAGCTTGCCATTTCCCATCACCTGGAGAAACGCTACCATACCCAGCAGCAAGACTACCTATTTCTGTCTGAGCAGGTACCACCCGGGCAAGAGACTCCTGAACTCCAAACAGAGGTGTCACAGTCTTACAAAGCAGAAAGCCATGTTCATCTTCCCATACAGGGTGAGGTCCCATGCTACCCCAACCCCTGTGAGAGCTATAGAGATCTGGCAGTAGAGATGAACTGGGGTCCTGGGGAGACTGGGAGCAACCTGCTTCCCAGTTATATGAATTGCATGGGGACTAGAAAGACATCACATTCCCCTAGATCCCCTTATAAGAAGCATGCACACCACACTGGGAAAAACACTAAGGGTGCTCATAAGGGACACTTAAAGCAGAAACATTATGTATGACACAGTTAGATGGGGCATAAGTTTTTTATGAACGTGAAGGCTTTGTTTTTCATCTGAGTCTTCCAGGTTATTATAAATGCTATCCTACACATGACAGGTGAGTGTCAGGGAGTGCATGGTGGAAGCTGAAATGAGTGGAAAATGAAGAACAGCTATTGCACTGTGAACTCAATGCCTCAGAGGCAGGTAGACATTCAAATGGAGATTTACCAGATAAATGGACCTGTTCAAAATGAAACATTTTGAGAACATTCCCTAAGGCGAAAAAATGAGACTCCACAATGAGAAAAGATTACAGTCATTAGATGCCTTAATGTTACATTTAATAGCTTTTAGTGCTGAATGGGACAGTAAAAAAATCACTGCGAGGGGGGTCTGTGGCAGATCTAGGGATACTGTGTGAGTGTGCATGAGAGGAAATGCAGTGGAAGAATATTTCTCTGAGACTTTTGTTGTAGCCCCTAGAATTGTATGAAGCCCATTCCTCTTCCCGTTGGTTTTGTCCACACTGTAGAATGCACTGGTCTCTGGATCATAATCAGCTCCCAAGAGGATAATGGCTGCATAGATGCAAACAAGCACACACACACATGCACAATTTGACCTAGTGAATCTTAGTCACTTGATTTGGGAAAATGAACTGGGAAGACAGTGAAAAAGAAAAGGCTATACAAGCCAGGGAAATTCTAGGGTTTGTAGGTGACTTAACCATAGTATGTTAGCTATGAAGAAAGAGAAAGAGATAAGACCACTACATAATTGATTATGAGAGCTGAATAATGGAGCAAAGTCATGCATCCAGTCTGAAAATTAAACATTTTAGTGAGCTTGAGAGAGAATTCAATAGTGCATTAGTGATTGCACATTGAATGGACTTAAAGCGGTACATAAATGTGCAAATTCAATAAAAAGACTAATTATGTGAAAATTGTGTTTAATGTTTAAGATATTGTGCATCAATATCAGTGTTAATATTTATTTGAAGAAAAATGTTTAACTATTATAAATTTATGATTACACTGTCAGTTCATGATATAACAGGATCCCTCAGGAAAAAAAAATAAATACAGCATTATCCAAATGCTACACAAAATGTACTACAAAGACACCATTAAAATTTAAAATAACTGCATAACTTATGTAACTTATTTGTATAACCAATATTGTGACCTCAGCAGTTTTTTTCCAAGTCCAATGCTACTACTACAAAGCTGGCTGGCACTAGCAGACCCCCTAGCCTTAGGACAACATACTAGTACTCAACTTGCCTTGAAAAAGATCAGCTGTGGTCAAAATGCCAGCTATATCAATAAATTACAGAGTTAGTGTGGGGTCATTATATTTCTGCATCATATTACCATGACCATCGGATAGATGCTCCCTTCCATGTATGTCCATCTTTTGTGTATATCATGATTTTATTCCATTTCCTTTCTGAATACAGGGGTGAGATTTCTATGTACCAAACATGTCTCTGAAGTTTGTATTCCTTCTGGGTTCATCTATACACTATGATAATACAGAGACAATCACTCAAAAGAAAGTGCTTTGGGAAAAATAAAAAGGTCAATGTGTGGAGAAGCAGATGAGCCTTTCAGGGTAGCGTGAGCATAGGCTTCTATGGGAAAAAATGAAAGAAAATAACTTAAATTTGAATGGCTGTTTTTTTTAACCTGCATTAACTAAGATTTAGCACAAATTTGGATACATCAAGTATAAACTTGTCTAGACCCCCCCACCCCCAGCTCCACTCTGCTATTTTCAGGCTTTATGTTTATTTCTTGCCCTTTGTGGCCACTGTTGTTAAATCCATACCACACTTCTTCCACACCCCTGCTGACCCAAAGGCATAAGATGCATTTTCCAAAAAAAGTATGGCTCATTTCAATGATGGACCATGGAGGCTCCCTGTACAGGTACAACCCAAGGCAGGAACATACAGTATCTGTCTGTTAGACCCAGGAGGCCACATTCTGTAGCACAGAAAGAGTGCGACAAAGAATGAGGCAAAACCAGGGTTAACATCAGCTTGGCATTTTGGAAATGGAGAGCATTAAACACATCCTCTTCTTCTTCTTTCGACTGTTCCCGTTAGGGGTCGCTACAGCAAATCATCTGTGTTAGGTGGACTAACTCTATCCTCGACATCCACTATTCCTACCCCAGTTAACTTCATGTCCTCTTTTAGCACATCCATATATCTCCTCTT